AACTTTAGTACGCGGAGTATCTGGGGAGCTGGAAGATGAGAACTGGCGACTTTGTAGTACAACTTTAGTACGCGGAGCAAGCTGTGGAGCTGGAAGCTGAGAACTGGCGACCGTGTAGTACAACTTTAGTACGCGGATGGGTCATCTCTCGCAGCTGAGTCATCTCTCGCGGCTGCTCTGGCGCCCCTGCAGCTGAGTCATGTCTCCCGACCACCCGGCTCTCTTGCGAGGTTGACAAATTTTAGCTACTTTGCTTACTCATAAGTGGCTGCCACAAAAGAGTCATCGTGACGTTAGTATGTGTGTACTTCACCTTCATGACAAACGATGTTCGCTTGGAATACACGAGTCGCTTGTCATGATCGTGACGTCGTTTACTCTCGTGGAAACTTCAGTGTGAAATGTACGTCCTTCAGTTCTATTTGCTGCCGTTGCATCGACGCATCTACGTCTACACCCCCTCACCTCTCTACATTTACATCTTCACACGCTCACATCCGCAGATCTACCTCTCCACCTCACCACACCCACACATCTGCACATCTATATCACATCTGTACATCCACACTGTCGCTCCTTCACATCTGTCCTGTCTTTCTTTCTTTCTTTCTACATATCTTTTCTATCGCCTCTGTACATTTACATCTTCGCACGCTCACATCCACAGATCTACCTGTACACCACCATACATCTACACATCTATATCATATATCGCACCTGCACATCCACACTGTCACTCCTTCACGTCCACCCTCTCTTTCTCTCTGTCTATATATCTTTTCGACAGTGCTGGACAATCACATGTCTCGCTCTCGGGCCAAGCGTCGTCTAGTGTTTTAAACATATCAAGTAGAGACAGACAGGCAGACACGGACAGACACAGACAGACACGTAGAGAACAGACAGAGACAGAACAGAACAGAACAGACCAGAACAGACCAGAACAGACCAAGACAGACAGACAGACAGACAGACAGACAAAACAGACAGACAGACCGAGGGAGGAAGGGAGAGAGAGGGAGAGAGAGGGAGAGAGAGGGAGGGAGAGGGAGAGAGAGGGAGGGAGCAAAGCTTTTGCACGGCTAGACAAAGACATTTGAATTTGAATTGGCGTGCTTGAGGTACAGACAGCATTGCTTTGGTATTGCTGGCACTGGAGGCTGTCCCCCACAAGGCCAAAATGCTGCACAAGCACTTCAGGAAAATTCTCAAGAGTATGAACAAAGGTATAGCCAGCTGCATTGTGATTTGACCAATGGACTTCTTAAAAAGAGGGTCACTTTCCATGAATGCGTCGTGTGCAACCAACTTTTGCTGGACTGGTGACTTCTGACAGGGCACGAAGCTGCCTTGAGCAAAGCTCTGGAGATGGCCCGTGAACTTCGAAAGATGGGGGAAGAGAGAGCTTTGGTGCTGTACAAGGTGCCTTGTGAGAGGAAGTCGATGACGCTTGCAAGCATGCGGCACAATGTCATTCAATTTCACATAAATACTTGCCTGGTTTTCTTTTTTCGCCCTTTTTGATAAGGTTGATCGAGCTTGTGTTTCATGTTCCGCAGCTATTTGGAGAGAGTCTTAGAGTTGTTGCCATTATTTACCCAAGCCAGCCATGTCGGTGAAGCCAATTCGCGAGCATGCTGGCAAGAGCTTGTTGGAGAAGCTTCTGCCCGAAATCTCTGGTGGGAAGCACAAGATGGGTCACGCTGGAGTTCTTGTGACACCAGCAGTGTTGGATTCAACCAGCAGCCAGACGTGGGATGGAATCCTTGAGGCAAACCCGTGGCTGAAGACGACCAACTTGGTTGCCAAGCCCGATCAGCTGATCAAACGTCGTGGCAAGGCTGGCCTCATTGCAGTGAACAAGACCTTTGACGAGGCGAAACAGTGGGTGATGGATCGCATGTGCAAAGAGCAGAAGGTGGAACACGTGACCGGACAGCTGACGCACTTCCTCATCGAACCTTTCGTGCCTCACAAGCAGGAACAGGAGCACTACATTTGCATGCTGTCACATCGATACCATGATGAGATCCTGTTTTACCACGAGGGTGGAGTTGATGTGGGAGATGTGGATGCCAAGGCAGAGCGCATGGAAATCCCAACTGGAGAGGCATTGACAGAGGCAGCTGTCACTTCGAAGTTGCTTACAAAACTTGCAGCTGCAAAGAAGGGAGGCATGGCCTCTTTCATTTGCAGCCTGTATAAGTTCTACATGGACTTGCACTTTGCATACTTGGAGATCAACCCTTTGGTCATGTTGGATGACAACACAGTGGTGCCGCTCGACATGGCTGCAAAGATTGATGAAACGGCGAACTTCCTGGCTGCGCAGAAGTGGGGTGAGCTTGATTGGCCGCCTCCCTTCGGCCGCGCAGCCTACCCTGAGGAAGCTTTGATCCGTGACATGGACGGCCGAACCGGTGCCTCATTGAAGCTGACCATTCTCAACGAGAAGGGCCGTGTGTGGACCATGGTTGCTGGAGGTGGTGCTTCCGTTGTGTATGCGGACACAGTGGCTGACTATGGCATGGGTCATGAGCTTGCCAACTACGGTGAGTATTCTGGTGCTCCTTCTACTGAAGAGACCTTTGTCTATGCCAAGACCCTGCTGTCCCTCATGATGAAGTACAAGCACCCGGAAGGAAAATTCTTGATTATTGGTGGCGGCATCGCAAACTTTACCGATGTGGCTGCGACATTCACCGGGCTCATCAAGGCACTGCAGGAGTATGCGGATGACATCAAGGACAGCTGTCACGACTTACAGTATTGGACCAACAGTTGGAATATGTTAGAATAACATCAATGAAACACATGACATGAATTAGGATCTACTGTAACTCACTAAGGCGGAGCTGGTAAAAATAGCACTTGGAATGAGCATGCAGCTAGATTATGCTGGAAGGCTGGAGCCACAGTTGAATCAACACCACAGAAGACCATAGCGCAAACGCACACCTAGCGGGTTTCCTGGCGACACCTTGGTGATGTTGCCCGATTCTCTTGCGAGCGGCTGTTAAAATTTAACAAAAGCAAACCGAGCACGGATCGCATAACTCATCAACCAGCGTTTACTAAGCAAAGCATGCACTATCTTTTGGCACCTCCTCATCAAAAGAGAATCATCGAGAAGCTAAAGATGCATCGCTCTTGTTCTGCATGTCTCTTCTATATTCTAAGTGCATTGTTGTAAATTCTAAGTGCATCTAAGCTCCGAATTACATTTTCAGATTCTAACTACATTCCTAATTCCCTATGTTGAATTCTAACTGTCTGTCCGGGATAGACTGATTCCAATATGTTACAGTACTGGTCATCAAAAGCCAGCATATCGATTATCACAGAGGACTTTCAGCAGCATACTGCATTTTTGAGCCTTGTGCACCGTCAAAGCTCATTCCAAATCAGCTCCAAACTCTCAAGCCAAAACATATATAAATAAATATGTATATATATATAGAGAGAGAAACATGTGGAAAACCATTGGAAAACACATGTGCAGCCAACAACTTCACACACACACAATTTAGTATTGGAAGGGACACTGGGCGGCCAAAAATTGCATGAAACTTGCAGAGACAAGGGACCCACCAAGAGACTGAAACCTTCCCACCACCAATTTTGATGATGTCTTTGGGCTATACACATAATTAAACTAGGTCACGCCCGCTGCAACAGCCCTGCGCGATTTGCGCGTTCTCACATGCATCTTCGAGTCGTTTTTCACAACCCCTCTGGCACTTTATGGCGATGCTTTTTTAGGTCAATGTCATTTTGAATGTGTTTTTACACCACAAAACGCCTCTCAAATCGTAACTTCATTGTGAAATGACAGTGCGTTCGGGGACCCGGAAGTTAAAAAACGGATCTTTAAACGCTTCTCTTTTTTTCATGAAACCTTAACACACTTCCACTCCCTCAGGCGTGCCACTCCTTTTCACGCGTTCCACTCCTTCTGCGCCATCTGACCCAACTTCTGCAGTTGGTGCTTAGACGGTGTAATACAGCGCCACACAAAGCTATACATATATTCTTAGATCTGTGCATTCAACCCGCCATTGGTAGCATCAACTTGGTTTGCAAGTGCAAGCGAATGTTAACAGACAAAATCACCACCCCACCCCACTCCCAACGTAGCATCAACTTGGTTTGCAAGTGCAAGCGAATGTTAACAGACCCCACCCCATCCCCACCCCACCCCATTCCCAACGTAGCATCAACTTGGTTTGCAAGTGCAAGCGAATGTTAAGACACCCCACCCCATCCCCACCCCACCCCATCCCCACCCCATTCCCAACGTAGCATCAACTTGGTTTGCAAGTGCAAGCGAACGTTAACAGACCCCACCCCATCCCCACCCCACCCCATCCCCAGCGTAGTATCAACTTGGTTAACGGGGAAAACGCGGAAATTCTCCGGGGCCGTTCGGGGGGGTGTGAGCTTAAACTAAGTGTCTTGCGCCGTCGATGCTTGGGGCAAGTCGCAGTCAACACCAGGAGAACAAGATCAAGATCTTGATTCGTCGTGCAGGCCCCAACTACCTGGAGGGCTTGCGCAAAGTCAAGGCAGCAAGCGACAAGTTGGGCCTCGGCATCAAGGCAGGATACAGCACAGCCCAATCCTTTCGAAGCCTTTCAATTGTCAGAGGATAAAGTCGAGTTCCGCAACTGCGCAGGATTCCGCAACTAGGATTCCGCAAGTGTTTGGTCGGATTCCGCAACTGGGATTCCGCAACTGGGATTCCGAAACTAGGATTCCGCACCTAGGATTCCGCAACTAGAGTTCCGCAACTAGGATTCCGCAACTAGGATTCCGAAACTAGGATTCCGCAACTGCCAAGATTCCGCAACT